AATCACTATGAGCGACAACTTAAAGACAACAATTTTCAAGGTAAAGACAAAATGGATTTCTCAGACGGCAACAACTACACAAGTGATTGGTTAGACAGTATCAGAGCAGACCAAGGTACTCACATTTTCCTCAGTGCTGATCGATACCAGTCGAGAAATTCACATATGAGCAGTAAATATTTTCACCATTACTCTGGCTTTCTTCAGCATTTCTCGACAAAGCAAATTAACAGTTATCGGAGCAACTTAAAGACGACAAATTTCAAGGTAAAGGCAAAATGGATTTATCAGACGGCAACAACTACACAGATGATTTGGCAGATAACACAAGCACAGGCGAGAGTACTCTTGTTGTTACCAATGGTAATCGCTTTGAGAGGAAACATTCCTAAATCCGTTACCGATGTGTTTTAAATTACATCGGCTTCCTGGAGTTTCCTGTTGACGAGATAAGAGAATAGTGAATGGGACAACTTAAAGACGACAAATTTCATGGTAAAGGCAAAATGGATTTTTCAGACGGCGACAAGTACACTGGCGATTGGGTAGATGGCACAATGACAGGGGAGGGTATTTTGATTTTTGCAAATGGTAATCGCTATCAGAGTAGATATTCACAAATCATTCGTCAGCATTTCTTTGATTACTACACGTTTTTTGAGGATCCCTTGATGAATTAAGCGATCAGTGACGGGGCCGGTGGAAAGAAAATAAAGCACATGGAACAGGTCAAATGGATTTTGCAAGTGGAGACAGATACAAGGGTGATTGGGATTATGGCGCAAGAACAGGCAATGGTATTCATAGTTTTGCCAATGGTAATCGCTTTGAGAGGAAACATTCCTAAATCCATCATCGATGTGCTTTAAATTACATCGAGTTCAAGCCGTTTTCTGTTGATGAAATAAGAGAGTAGTTATTGGGACAATTTAAGGATGGTAAATTTCATGGTAAAGGCAACATGGAATTCGGAAGCGGAGCCAAGTACACTGGAGATTGGGTTGATGGCGCAATGACAGGCGAAGGCATTTATATTTTCCCCAATGGTAACCGCTATGAGAGAAGATATTCACAAATTCGATATCGATGTGTTTTAAATTACATCGGCTTCAAGGACTTTCCTGTTGACGAAATTAGAGAGCGGTGAATGGGACAACTTAAAGACGACAAATTTCATGGTAAAGGCAAAATGGAATTTGCAAGCGGAGCCAAGTACACTGGAGATTGGGTTGATGGCGCGATGACAGGCGACGGCATTTATATTTTTACCAATGGTAACCGCTATGAGAGTAGATATTCACAAATCATTCGTCAGAATTTCTTTGATTACTTTCTGGGTTTTGAGGACCCCTTCATGAATTAAGCGATCAGTCACGGGGCCAGTGGGACGAAAATAGGGCACATGGGATAGGTAAAATGTATTATGCAAGCGGTGCCATGTACAGTGGAGGTTGGGTGGATGGCACAATGACAGGCGAATGCGTTTATATTTTTGACAATGGGACACGCTACGAGTGGAGACATTCATAAATCACTTGACAGGCCGTCTTTCATTGCTTCAGCTGTCATTAGCACTCATTGATGAATTAAGCGATCAGTCATGGGGGCAGTGGAGAGATGGCAAACGAGTTAAGGGCGGTTTTGGCTGCGATAATTTCTGATTTGAGCAGGACGCTCTTGATTTTTGAAATTTTTTTCGGAGTAAAAATTCTGCTCTGTTCGGTAGTTTATCTGGAACAATTTGTTCTGATACTTCCTGTTTTTTAATTTTAATTTTAACTTTGATTTTTGTGATATCTTGAACCAATAAAGGAGCGTATATGAGACGCAGGAATGTTGTGATGCTTGATGGTGGCAACGATTACATCGTAATTTCTCTTTATTTCGCGTTTGAGATAAACAGCTATATTAAGTGCTGGGTAGAAAAAAGGAGCACTGTTTTGAGCAGTACATTAAGGTTTATCCCTAATAGGTGGAAAGTTTAGTTTTATGGAAGGCAAAAGTGGCGGAATTGTCGAAAGTGACGCAGGAAATTAGAGTATTTTCCGATTAGAGAAATCATTTTTTCACCTTGAACTGGGACAGAAATTCGTTGCGCAAATAGTGAGTGTTACGGCCGAAGCGTTCCCCTTCGATTGTATGGCGGAACAAACGAATAATACACGCTCCTTTCTTGTATAGTAGTTGTACAACTGCCCGGAAAGCGGAAAACGTTGGTTCGACTCCATTGGAGGGGGATTATCCTTTTGTTCGGTTCTGTCGTCATACTATCATGTTGCTGTGTCGCTGATAACTGAGTTTAACAATGTGAGAGAAAAGAATACATAACAGTGAGTGATTTATGTAGCTTTCATAAACCATTTTGCCTGTGTGACGCTGTGAATGGAGTCGTATTACAAATCCACCTGACTTTTGATAAATACGATCAAAAGTTATCATCATCACGATTCGCAATAAGAATCGCGTTTGTAGGCACCTTCGGTAACAGTTTAAAATTATACTCAAGTGAATGCGCTCTCAAAATTTTGTTGATCAAATAGAATTCCTTTTTGCATCATACTTCTGATACGTCGAAAACATTCGCTCCGGGAGTGGTCATTCCACAAATATAGAGCAATGTCCGGTTTTAGTTACGAGGTTTTGCTGTGGTACCAGTTGTAATTTTCCATGAGAAAAATATCTGCTAATTTCTCGTTTCGGCCTGATCCCAAAACATGGAGTTGGAAACCCTGAGTATTACAGACTGAATGGTTGATATCAATGTATATATCCGAGGATGCTGCAATGAAGTATTCATATGCATGTTAATCAAATAATTAAAGACTGCAAGCAATTCTGCGGTTGACTGAGGATTATCATTCTATAGTATACTATGTCATTGTTATGGATATTATTATATAGTTACCTGCGGAAACCCATTCTTACGCAAAAACAAACAGTAAGTGATCAAATTAGACCGTTGAACATCTGACTGTCTTCTACACTTTTCATCGAGAAACAACGATCAGTGGTGTATTTCATTTTTAAACTATAGAATTAACTCAAATGTTTATGAGAATTATCATTAGATAATAACACAGCAGGTTATTTTTCTCACAATTTAGGAAAACATCAAGAGTTCGTATGCTCGAGTTCGAAAAACTACCTTCTCTATTGTTCCGGACGAAAAATGTTTGCTTTTTGATTTCTATCACAGATGAGCTAGGGACAACGTTTTTCTATCCTATTCTTTGATCTGAACTCTTTCATTTTGTTTTGAAAAATGACAATATTCTATGGAATTAAAATCTTGTTTCTTTTAGTAAAGGACTTGTCACTGATTTTCTTATTTACCGCCAAGAGAGAGTTTTATGGAAAATCATTGTCATAATCTAAACAATATTTCATCTGAAATAGCATGATGTATATTATATTTTCTATTGCAACATGAATTGACTAATTTTTACTAGGCAATTTTCACTATGATTTATTTCAATGAAACTTATCTGGAAATATCTGAGCGTACAATCGATAACTTGAAAATTATTAGTAAAAGTAAACAAAAACTAAAATTTGACCACAAATTTTTATTGAAAAAGAAAGCAATATACGTTTATTGGTTTTCCATAAATTCTTGAACAGTTTCAATTACTTCTTGACCAGGATAGCCAGATGTTCCGATATGCAGGAAAGTTTCCGATTTTTGAACTTTTTTCTGGCGCATTTCTGGCGTTCTGATTTCTTTCGATTTTGAAGCTTTTTTGCGATCGCATTCTGATTTTCTGATTTTTCAATGTTTTCCTAGATTCAAGACTATTACGTATTGATTTATGATCTTTTTATCACTTTTTACTAAATGTGAAGGGTGCCGTCTTTCTTTTCGTGTAATTATTGGATAGTTTTGTGTCTTAATTGTTAACCTACTATCAGATACTTAAGTATACTAGCAGCTCTTTCTTTATTAAAGTCAATGATTTTTGTTAACAAAAAAATTCAATTTTCTATTTAGATATTCAATTATTTGTTATTGAAATGAAGGGTGTTGGTTTTGTCGTTTGGTGATTTATTTATTGTATTTCAACTATAGTGAAATTGAATTATGGATGATTTGTTGGAAGATATTTGTATTTGTGAAAATGATAATATAGAAAATGAACAACAAGCAACAACCACAGTAACAACAACGAGAACAATAACAAATACATCAACATCTACTCTTAAAATACAAAAGAAAAAGAAAGGTGTTTTTCGTAGAGAATGGTTATGTATGAAAGAATAGTCGAAATGGTTACAAGCAGTCAAAACTGATTCATCAAAAACTCGGTGTAACGCTTGTTTAAAAACTTTTTCTATTCATTGTGATGGTAAAACAGCACTTGATAAACATATGAATCATGTTGCACATCAAACGTCAATGAAAACATTTGAAAAATCGACATTAATCAAAACACTTGCAGTTTTAGCAAGTGAATCGGATCAAATTTCAGCTGCTGAAGGCATGATAGTATACCATGAAGTTAAACATGGATACAGTTATATTTCACAAGCATGTGGAACAAATTTGATAAAATCACTATTTGAATCATCATCATCAGTAGCAAAGTCATTATCATGTGGTAAAACGAAATCTAGAGCAATTGCATGTAATGTATTCGGACCATATTTTACAAAAAAAGTAATTGATCAAGTGTTAGAAGCACAGTTTTATTCATTATCATATGATGCTTCAAATAAAGGAAATTGTAAGACATATCCATTTACTGTACAATTTTTTTCAGATGTTGGTGTTAAGAGAGGTAGTTACTTACAGATAGGTGGAAGTGTTTATGTCTATTCACTTTATGTTTATGTATGGTTTTTTTTTATTCAGTACTTATTCAGTTCATCGAAGATCCACATGAAACAGCAGAAGATATATTTAAAAATGCTTGCAGAGTGATAAATGATTTTCAATTAAAAATTGAACATTTGACAAGTGTTAGTGCTAATAACACCAATGTCAATTTTGGCGAGCATCATTCAGTATTTCGACTATTTAAAAATGAAGCACCACATATTGTACAAGGTATACTTAAACGTTTATCATACATTGAATTTATTAAATTCAAGTTGAAAATATGTATTTAATTTGTTTGATCCCATGAAATTGTTATATGCGCATATATTACATAATGTAGTTAAACATGCACACGAAGCTTTGCCAATTGATATCGAAAGCGTTTTATGTAAAATTTATTCCCATTTTTCAAGATCAACTAAGCGAATCGAAGAACTAAAAGCATATTATGAATTTGTACAATCTGAATATACTGTAAGTGATAATAAAATATATCCGATAAAATAGATATGAGAATAATTCATAAAATTTACGCTTTTCTTAGACGTTATTGCAACATATTCTTACAAGGTGTTTAAGTTTATTGCGTTCCATTGAACGTTTACTTGAAAAATATGAACTTATAAAATTGTATTTTTTAAATCAACCAGCCACAATGAAAAATCAACAACTCTTAAAGTCTTTCTTCGATAGTATTGATGGATTATGCATATTAAATTTTTTACACAATATATTAAACGAAATTCAATGAGCTGATTTACAACTACAACGCACATATTCAACAGCAGTTGATCTGCATCGTATAATTGATGGTTTGATTAGAAAATTACAACAAAGATTACGTGATAAATATTTCGGTAATAGAACACACGATATATTGAGACAGTTACAGGAAGCCGATGCTAATAAAGCTGAAGAATTTAAAAGATCATTTGAATCATTTATTGAAACTGTTATTGAATATATTAAATCTTATTATGATGATAACACAAGGAAATTTTATGAAAAATTATCATTTTTTAGTTATCAATCACTTGAATTTCTTGCATTGGAACGTCTTATGGATGTTGCTGACTTAGTTAAAGTAAATGATTTGAATAAAGATGAATTGTACAGTGAATATTGTGAACTCAGAGTTTTATACGACAATTTAATAAAAACAAATGTTAAATTAAGTGCAGGCCTCGCAGAGGTCCTTCTTTCCTACTTTTTTCCTTCTTTTCAAGAGGCGTCCTTCTTCATCCTTCTTTTTAACAAAATTCCTTATTTTCTTCTTTTTCATGCAAGATGACCGTATACACACTTCACAACAGAGATACTACACTTCAGAGAAATAATATTCATATATCAGAAAAACCACACAATGAAACAATCATAGTTCTAGAGCGTATATTTATTATTAGTTTTTATTTTCAAATTTTAATATCTACAAATTTACAAATCTACAGATGCACAAAATTATAAGCTCACAAATTTCATCTTCTTTTTGTACCATTTTTTCAATTTCTTTCTAAGTTGACTCCTTTGATCGCTGTTATTGCTGAGTTTTGTTTTCAAAACATCCAATTCAATATTGCATACAGTACATATGAACGTACTATTTTCTTTACCCTGACGTAACCAAACGGAACATGGTTTGCCCGTCGAGTCAGCTCTTTGTAGCCAATTTGATGAAAAACTAGTGTATTTCGGCATCTAACGTCTCTAACTTTTATCAAATGTTGAATATTTTGCACTATTTTTACGAAACATGCATTCTCATCAGGGTTACCAAATGTCCTGTTTTGACCAGGAATCTCCTGATTTTCCAACTTTTCTCCTGACAAAAACGCTCCTGATTTCACGAGCTAATTTTTATGTTTTCTCCTGGTTTCTCCTGATTTTTTTATGTGACGATCAGCTACATTTAGAACGCATAGCACTTTTAAAGAGAAAAAAACGAATCTATAGAAGCGTTAAACACATATATAAGAAACAATAAGGAAGGATATTGCCTGTTATTTTTCTCTAATCAAAATTGATTTTCAGTGAAATAAACAATTTTATAGCATTTTTTGTAGAAATCGATATAGCTATCAAAGAAATATCTTTATTTTAAATGTTTTCTCCGCTAATAGCTGATATTATTGAGATATAAAATTCATTAGATGATGATAATTTTTTCTTACAAGTTGATCCATTAGCTGCGAAAGAAAGTGTTACTGTTGCACCAAGAACTACCGCAGCTGCAGCATCTACCAATTAGGGGTGGTACTTCAACTTTAAAACACTTTAAAAAAGTATTAAAGCTTAAATTGTTACTTCAACCTTTAAAATTAAAGTTAAAGTGGTATCTTAAGCACTTTAATACTTTATCATTAGAGTTGAGATACTTTAACTTTAATTTTAAAGTTTAAAGTTGCAGTTAAAATCAACAGATAATTGATCATGAAGAGGTAAAAATTATTTTTCACTTTAACTCTAATTTTTTAAACTTAAAGTGCCATCCCTATTATGAGATAAAAATCATCGAATGGCTGTTCAGTATCAACAAAAAATACTCCTGATTTTTCTCCGGATTTAGGAAAAAAATTCTACTGATAAACTCCTGATTTCTCACAAAAAAATCCTGATTTCTAAAATTTGAATTTGGTAACCCTATATATTAAAGGTCTCATGCCTATTGCTTGGTCTTCCCCAAATAAGTATGTATTCTATGAGTGAAATAGTGAATATATCACTCGCAAAACTAAAAATAAACGTCAATATTTTGATATCGGCACTACGTTCATCAAACTTGCTGCAGATCGATATTTTCTTACTAGAAAAGGCAATAGCAACAAGTGATATTGAGGTGATAACAAAAATAATCTTTTAGAAGTACTAAAAGTCAAGCTATCATATAACTTAATTAGTATGAGAATTTTTTCGTATTAGTATTATATTCATAGATTGCTTTTGCTCAGAGTAAAGCTACAATCAATTTTGTTCGTGCAGGTTCTGTTCAAGCTTCACCTGATTTATTTTTATCCCAGGACGGTACATTTGGATCAATTCCTTCTTTTCCTTCTTTTCAATTAATTTCCTTCTTTAAAAAAAAACAATTCCTTCTCAAAATCCTTCTTTTTATCAAACCCCGCTGCGGGGCCTGTGAGTGATCAAATCAAGTTGTATATCTCAAATAAGAAAGACTATATGATCCAATATCAACAATAAATGATAATTCAGATAGTGTATACGATAATAATGATGAAGTCGAATTATACATAAAAATCAAAAGAACGATGAATACATACGATCCGATCACTTTTTGTCTTATTTAATGAATATTAATCCAAATTCAACACCAAATATGAAAAAAAATTATACGTTATATATTTTCGATTCCTTGTACAAACGCTTATGTAGAAACAATTTTTAGTCACATGAAACATGCATGATCTGATTATCACGATCATATGGATATCTAATTAGTTGATGCTGAATTGAAAATAAGAATAAATTCTGATTACCCTTGTGCATATTTGTATAAATATCTTTTATCTCAACCAGAGATGCCAGATGGGTTGGGTCGTCACCGCTACCCACCGGGTTGGATGGCCCATGGGTCAACCCTAACCCAACCCAATGTAGTCCTCTGGTAATTTGAGAATTTTAAACCCTGACCCATCTGTCAAGCTTAACGTATGAACCCAATCGATCAACCCTCGGGTTACCCTTGGGTTAGCCCATGAATAATATATATTGTAAAATCATCATTCACAAAAAGGTTTTTTAATGCAGATGTTGTTACAATACAGCATAGAGCATGAATCATCTCTTCCATATTTATTTAATCGCATAATCCAACTTAACACACAAGAAGCGCATTGCATCTTCTTTTGCTCTCTGTTCTCTCTCTCTCTCTCTTGCAATCTCACGTTTCTTCTATCCTATCTTCTCCTTTCTTCCCTTCTCTGTTTTAGGTCTATTATTCTCCTTCGCCGATCGAGGTAGATTTCACTATCTTCTTTACTAGATTTTTGTTTTTGCCTTCTATATTTTTCGATTCCTTTTGTTTCGCATACATCTGTAACTCTTTGTATGTAGAGCTTTTTTTGATGCATATATATAAAGGAATGCATATCTTCACTTTATTCTAAACTGATCTAATTACTTGTTATTTTCTCCTGATTTCTATTCTATTTTTTTTAATGTTAATAACCATGGAAAAAAAACGAAATATAGATGGCGTTCTTATGGTTCACCAAAAGTGTAAAACTGAATATTGCGAATACATCTTGAGCGATTTCCATTGCTTCTCTACATTAGCACACCATGCTGTTTGAGCTATTAGTTTTTATTTTAGTTTTCCACTAACTTAAAAAAACTAAAACGTTTGGAATTCATCACTGTTATTTTTAATATATTAGAGAAATAAGCCACTATATAGATATCGATTTCCGATCAGTACAATTTTGTTTAATGACACTATACTTTTAAATGATATTTTAGATGCAACTAGTATTCTATTATATACAAAGGAAATGGATGATAACTCTTCAGTGCATTTTTATTGGTGAATTTATTCGCTCAAATGAAAATGATTTCGTTCACAAATACAGTAAAACCTGTATTTGTGAACACCCCTCCTTTATGAACAACCTGTTTATCTGAACGGTTTTGAAAAGTCCCNCAACCCAATGACCCATTCGCTGAATTAAAAATAAAAATTGGGTTGAAACCCACCCATTGCTCTATCTGCTGCGGTAGGGTCAACCCTCGGGTTGGGAAAAGTGATTTTTTCGGCATCTCTGATCTCAACCTGATATATTGAAACAAATTCGAACAAATGAAAAATATCAACAAAAGAAGCATTGTTGTGCCGAATAAAATTTAGTTTTTTACATATTTTTAATGATGTAAATATATACTAAATTGATTTTTCTATTTTTTGGTCAAGTTAACTCTCATACTGTTTTTGTAAAAACAGTTTATTTCTGTTGATATGATAGTATATTTGATAGTTATGCTAGTGCTTTTCGGAGTTACTCAACCCACAGTATATTGTTATCTTTTTACATTTTTTTACAATGAAATATGTCTCAATATGATATTTGAAAAAATAAATGAAAAAAGTCAAGGAAATTCAACTGATGTAAAACAAATTAAATGCATTTCAGCTTGAAAAACGCATTCCGATTTTTTTCCGATTTCAAAACCGTTTTTTCCGACTTTTTCCGATTCTGACGAGCAGATTTTCGGACTTTTAACTTTTTGATCTGGCTACCCTGATCAACACTCAAACCGTGGTTTGGTTACCTTAAACTATTTGATACTGCTATACACAAATTACCCACTGTTCGAAAGAATCGTTGGCGTGGGATTGCAATAGACACAGCAAAGGGCTTCACAAAAGGAGATGAGTTCACCTGGTGAACGATTATTTCATGCTCACTGTCAGTGAATATCATAAAAGATTTTCTCGGCTCTAAATTAAACACTATTCCCCCGGTCGAACATTGCGGCAACCGGATCCCGTAGGATACTCCAGGGAATATGCGGGAAAGTCACCATATCCTACAGGAAAACACGGGAAATCGCTGGAACATGGAAGCAGTATTCCGGTCAAAAATACGGCCGGACTTTTCCTGCGAATTCCTGCCAAGTTCCGGTGCTTTCCGGTACGAATTGATCGGAAATCACCGGAAAAATTTCCAACCGGAATACTGCTTCCACAAAATCAACGGAACTACTCGGAACCGGCCGTTTCCAGGCCGGGCTGTTCGATCTGGGTCTTGATTGAAGCCGTGAACGGAAAATATATTTCCGGATACACGAACTTTCCAACTGAAAGTGAAGTAATTCTTTGTCCAGGTACACGACTTCGTGTTATCAGTGATCCTCTTGATCAAGCGTCAATGCGTGTAGTTCATTTACAACAAATTACCGATGAAGCTGAAGACAAGCTTACAAGTGGTTTCGACGAGATCTCAGCAGTATCCTCCTCCGAAATGAAATCGATTTCCACAAAAGCAACAACCAAATCGTCTGAAAAGAAAATTGTCAAAGATCCATGGGATAATAGATATGAGAAAAAAATTCAAATATTGTAAAGATAGTGTTATCGACCAACGGACAGAGCACTAGAATCGACGTCGTTATTGAATAAAGAGAAAGGTGAGATGAAAGACGGAACAAGCCATGGAATAGGTCAAATGGATTTTGCCAACGGCGAAAAGTACACAGATGATTGGGTAGATGGCGCAAGAACCGGCAAGCGTATTCTTATTTTTTGCCACTGCTAACCGCTTTGAGAGGAAACATTCCTAAATTCGCTATCGATGTGTTTTAAATTACATCGGATTCAAGACGTTTTCTGTTCACCAAATAAGACAGCAGTTACTGGGACAATTTAAGCAATGCAAATTTCATGGTCACCGCAAAAATGCAATTTTCAAACAGAGGAAAGTACACTCGAGATTGAGTTGATGGCGCAATGACAGGCGAAGGCATTTATATTTTTTGCCCATAGTAATCACTATGAGACGAGATATTCACAAATCCGTTATCCATGTGTTTTAAATTACATCGGATTCAAGGAGTTTCCTGTTGACGAAATAAGAGAATAGTGAATGCGACAACTTAAAGACAACAATTTTCAAGGTAAAGACAAAATGGATTTCTCAGACGGCAACAACTACACAGCTGATTGGGCAGACGGTATCAGAGCAGACCAAGGTACTCACATTTTCCTCAGTGCTGATCGATACCAGTCGAGAAATTCACATATGAGCAGTAAATATTTTCACCACTACTCTGGATTTCTTCAGCATTTCTCGACAAAGCAAATAAACAGTTATCGGAGCAACTTGAAGACGACAAATTTCAAGGTAAAGGCAAAATGGATTTCTCAGACGGCAACAACTACACAGATGATTTGGCAGATAACACAAGCACAGGCGAGAGTACTCTTGTTGTTACCAATGGTAATCGCTTTGAGAGGAAACATTCCTAAATCCGTTACCGATGTGTTTTAAATTACATCGGCTTCCTGGAGTTTCCTGTTGACGAGATAAGAGAATAGTGAATGGGACAACTTAAAGACGACAAATTTCATGGTAAAGGCAAAATGGAATTATGAGACGGCGACAAGATCACTAGCGCGTGG